CAACAGCATGTGCATAGCTCAGCGGCAGGAAAGGAAAGGGCTCGTTAGAAGAGTGGGCAGGCCAGTGTGGCCGAAGCACAGGGTAGGGGGCTGGAGGATGGGACTGGAGCAGATCAGCTTAGTGGTCCCTCCTCGGGAAGCCAGGGTCCCCTCCCCCACGTTTGGGGAGGTGCTCCTCCTTTCCTTCCCTACGTTGGCACCTGTCACACTGGATTGTCACTGTCCATTTCTCTGATTCCCCAACTAGACCACGAGTTCCTAAGGACAGAGAGCATCTCTTCCACGTGTTGTGCCCTTTATTCTTGACTCACTGCATCAAGCAGAACACGCATCCTCCGTAAGAGCTGCCAAACGCTGCCTCTCCAGCCGGCCCCAGCTCAGGAAGCATCAGCAGCACGCATCCAGCAACTCAGACGAAAAACCCAGTGGACACCTGGGTTTTGATTTCCCTCCTCCCGAGTTCCTAGGAAAAGACCTGTCCCCTTCGCCTCTCAAACCATCCCGCACCTGCCAGGGCCACCTCCCTGGGTGCCACTCAGCTGCTTCCTCTTCTGCTCCCTCACAGCACTGCTCCCCGGCCTCAGATGTTGGTAACTAATTTTTTTCTAAACTGTGCAGATGGAAAAAAAACAAAAGAAAAACAAAAGCACAGTCACTTCCCACTGTGCTTAAAATAAAATCTTTATCTCTCCTGCAAGTCCTTGGTAATCTGGCCTTATCTAGGTGTCCAAGTTCATCTCAGACACTTTGCTCATCCCTCTGCTCTTCTAGCTACATTGGTCTCTCCCTCTCTCTATCTCCCTCTTCCTTTTTTGATTCTTACGTATTCCAAGGCTTATCCCTGCCTTAGGATGATCCCTCTGCCTAGAGTGCTGTTTCCCCAGGTTTCGCCTGACTGTGTCCTCCTCATCCAAACTCACTCCCGTGTCCTTGTCCTTGGAGGGAACTTGCGTGCCCACCCCCCTTTCCCATCGTTAATTGCCATTGCTCCCCATCTTATGCTCTGTTAACGCCACCTGGTATTTCCTTGTTTGTTCGTTCAGTGATTTGCTTACTGCCAGCTTTCCCACTCTGGAAGGTGAGTTGCTTGGGAGCAGGGACCTCACCTGCCTCACTCATAGCTGTAGCCCTGGACCCTGGCACATCCCAGGCCCTCAGTTATTTGTTGCTGAATGAAAAAAATGTATTGATCTCTTTTATATGCCAGGCACCCGGGGATTTCCTGTCGGCTCCCATCTGCTGGTTACCGACATCTTCAAAGGCAGAAGGCTGGAGCGGGAAGGAGGTGGACTGACAGAAGTGGGGACAGGGTGGGAGAGGCGCCGAACCAGCAGTCAGGATGTCTGGGCTCTCGCCCCAGCTCTGCCACTGGCTTGCTGTGTGAGCTTGCACAATCCATGCCCTTCCCTGGGCCTCGGTTTCCTCATTTGTAACCTGTATTATCTAAATAGTAGTTACATGTATTATCTGGCTGAATCTCACAGTGGCAACCCTGAGAGAGAAGCTGCAGCTTAGCGGGGTGGCATACCCTGCACAAGGTCACCCTGCTGGGGAGCCATGGAAGCCTGCATTCAAATCAGCCTGCCATCCCAACACCACACTAGCAGTTACAACAGAGTGCGGATCCCCACAGCGAGCCCTCATTTTGCATGAATGAATGAATGAATGAGTGAGTGAATGGGCACATTATAAACACCTGGACTGAGGGGCTTGGCAGAATGACAGACATTCCCAGCTTTAAAAAGTTCCCCTTCATCTCCTTGCGTGTCTCTTGCGACATGCAAAAAGAAAGGAGCATTCTCATTGACTGAGGGGCTATTGTGTGCCAGGTACTATACCAACAGCCCATGTGGTTATTTGCTCTGCCCCGAACACTACCACATCAGCCCGGGTGGGCAGTGGGGACACCCCAGGGACCCTTCTGCCAGCTGTGGCTCTCCCCCAGGGGGGTGCTGCTATCTTGTGAGAGTGTGTCTCTGGCTGGCTGCCCACCCCCTCGCCAGCCAGAGCTTCTTAGCTCATCAATCACACCACTGCACTCTGCCAGGCTGTGTCCCAGAGGAAGACAAGTCAGCTGAAGATGGAATGGACCCAGGCTCGGGGGGAATTGAAGACCCTGCGGGTGGAGGGAAGGCCCAGAAAGACAGCTGTGGACTGGATCGATGCCCCTCCACCAAGGAGGGCCGATCGGAGGAGGAGGCAGGGGCAGGGTTCTCACTGGAGAAGCAATGGGGCCAGGAGGAGAGGGGGAGATGATGGCTGGCACGGGCGGGGGCATTTTCCACTGCAACAGAAACCCAGTCTCCCCTGGTGCCCTGGCTGCTCCGGCTGCTCCGGGGAGCAGCCTGACAGCTCTGGGAAAGCCCGCAGCTTCTGGCAGCTGATTCATCACAAGCTCAGCTGCCCTCCAGCCATGCTCAGTTCCCCGTGGCCTTGCTTCCCAGCACCCCTGCCTCCCCACCACTGCGGGTGGGCGGGGCGGGGAGCAGGAAAGGCTGGTGTATCTCTGCCTTCACACTCCCTCTCCTTTCTCAGATCTGAGCCTCTTGGGATTGGAATGTGAGCTGTCTCCCCAGAGAGGTTCTGCTGGAAGTCAAGATGTCTGCGCCAAAGCCTCTGTAGAGATCTTCTAGTCCTGAGAGGCAAATTGGCCGCTTTTGTTTTGCTTTTCAGTCTGGGGCGGGGAAAAAAAGATCACTTCTCAGCCTTTTGGCTAAGATGAAGTATAGGAAAAAAAGAAAAGAATTGGTTGCCAACATTAGAACAGGAACAGTTTGCAGATAAAAGTCTGATTTCTGCTTCCCCTAAAAAGTGCAGAGATCGGGCAATTCTGAGCTGGCTGGTCCAGAGTGTAGCTGAGGCTGCTCCCACGGCCCGCCACACCTGCTGCAGCCTCTGTGTCGCAGCCCTGGCCCCTGTGGGCCACCTTAACCCTCACCCAAGGACTTTTTTTTTCACTGCTTTTAAAGAGAGAGGAAGGAAGAGAGAGAAACGTTGTTGTGAGAGTCATTGATTGGTTGCCTTCTGTGTGCCCTCGGCCCAGAGGCCGTGCACACCCGGACTGGGGATCAAACCTGCAGCCCAGGCGTGTGCCCTGACTGGGAACTGAACTCACAGCCTTTCAGTTCTGGGACGATGCTCCAACCAACTGAGCCACAATGACCAGGGCAGCCCTCTGGGCTTTGAGTTTTCTGCCCTCATTTGTTCCAAAACCCTCACTGGGGAAACTGAGGCCCACAGTGGGCAAGGACCGAGAGTGGGGCCCAGCAGTGGCAGCCTGGGACTGAGAGGCACCCTGGTTTCATACCCCAGAGCTGCCTCTTGAAGAGCTGTGTGATGCGGAGTGAGGAACCCGAGAAGCCCTCAGAGCTTCAGTTTCTCATGTGTGAAATGGACTTGATGGCCGCATGCCTTGTGAGGAATCTGCATGTTTAACATTTAGCACCATCAAGAAAAAGCACTCTGAAATTTGGATAGGTAATACACATGATATTATATATTTTCCACTTAATATTCACACACACACACACACACACACACACACACACACACACCCCTTTCCCAAACTTAATGGCTTCCACTGTCTTATAACCTCTCGCAGATTTGTGTGCTGACTTTGTTTATACAGGTGGTTCTCACCTGGGGCACCTGGTGGTGTTGTGGTCAGATGACAGCTGAAGGTATAGTCGTTTGCCTGCCCAGCGGGGCCTGGGGTCCCAGGATGGCTCACTCACAAGGCTAGCACCTGACGCTAGCTGTCAGCTGGAGCTCAGATGGGACCGAGGACGACAGTGCCCACACGGGGTTACTCGCTGAGGCTTGGGCTTCTCCCAGCCACCAGGTCTGAGAGAGAGCGAGGGTCTCAGAGCAAGCAAACCAAAAAACAAGGTGTAGCTGTATGACTTAAAAAAAATTATTGATTTGAGAGAGAGAGAAAAACATTGGTTTGTTGTTCCACTTAGTTATACATTAATTGGTTGATTTTTGTATGTGCCCTATCGGGGATCGAACCCATAACCTTGGCATATCAGGATGACGTTTTAACCAACTGAGCTACCCAGCCAGGGCCTGTATAACCTTTTATGACTTAGCCGTATAGGCCACATAGTATCACTTACACGATTTTTTACTGATCTAAGCAAATGCAGACCTGCTCAGATCAAACAGGAGGCAGAGATCCCACCTCTCAAAGAATGTGGGGCCATGTTTTAAAACTGAAACATAAGTCTCCCTTCCACCCCATTCCCCTAGGGCTGAATTATCCTCCTGGCAGCAACCACTACTAACCAATTTCCTGTGTTTGGTCCCAGGGGTGAGGTTTTACGTACACAGATATCCCTGTCTTCACAGTTCTCCCCACACTGCTCCCCATCGGAACAAAATGGATTCTGACAGCCTCGTGGACGAGCCATTTGCCACTGAACTCGTGTTCTTTGCTCTCTGAAATGAAATGCAGGAACCAAAGATTCCAGTTACGTTGCCTCCCTGGCTTTCTGAACCCTCGCTATCAGAACTAAGAAATCAGATAGATCTGGATCGCAAGAGATGCTTGTTGTGTAAGTGTACATAAAACACCCCTTCCACCCAACAATGCGAGCATCCTGGACACAATGTTCTGTCCCTTGCATTTTTCACTTAATTCGTCTCGAAGATCAGCCTGTTTCAGCACATACAGATGGGTATCATTCCTTGTAAGAGCACAGAGCATTCCTTTGTTTAAATACATCATAATTTGCTTTGTCAAACCACCTCCTATTGCCCACTTGTTTTTCCCCCGTCTCCTGCTAATTGCAATGCATACTGCAGTGCATAGCCTTGCCCAGAAATCTTTGTGCCCTTGTGTAAGACTGACTATCTGTGTGATAAATTCCTAGAGGCAGAATCCTAGCTCCAAGGGAAGGGTTCCCAAGACCACCTCTACTAGGCTCTGGCAAAACAGGCTCACACTGCACATCTTCTCTTGCATTCAGCCCGGATCTAGCCCTTTCTCAAGCTCTCACCTTTGGGGTCTTGCCTGCTTCCAGAGCAGCAGATGGCATCTTCTTCCCAGTTACGCACCAAGGTCACAGAGGGGCTCGCAGGGGAGAGGAGATTGAGGGGACTCGCAGGGACAGAGACGATAACCTTTGCAAAAGGAGGATGTGGGGAGCTGGGAGGCACCTCACCCCACTTGCTTGCCTCCTAATTTGTAGCAGCAGTTGCATTTGTTTCTCTCAGACCCCAGAGCAGTTGCCGGGAAGCTTCAGGCTGCTCCCACTCGCTTTCAAGAGAAAAACAGAGCTTGCTTCTGGTGGCAGATCTGCACCAAGCTGTGCAGAGCTGTCTGCAGAAGCTTCCAGATGGGCAGAGGCCAAGAGCAGGAGGCATCAGCAAGAGCCCCAGTTGCCCTTCCCTGCTTTTTAGGTATCGGGCTGCCCGTAACTGCTGGCTTCTACTCCTGTGCTGGACACAATATTGAACCAGGCAGGAGTCGGGGACCTAAATTCTGGCCCCTGCAGCGTGTGTCTTCCATTTCCATTCAGAGCACACTCGCCCCCGTGTGCCCTGCATGCTCATGAGGAGGCTGTATAGCACAGTGGGTGTGCGGGGCATTTACATTTTTGCCCTTAGATCTGTTCCCTGCCCGTCCCCTGTTGGGCTCAGCATCTAGGGGGCTGAACTACATTTTCCAGATGCCCCTGCCCACTGGCTTCCTATTAAGTTTGGCCAAATGGGAAGTACTGGCAGATTAGGGAACAGGCTGGGAGAAGACAGGATGTAGCCCCCACCTCCACTCCCCAATGCACTCACGCACATGCACCAACACTTCTGTCGTCTGTGACTCCAGTGACTCCAGAGGATGACTCTTCTTCCAGGGTCCTAGCTCCCACGAGGTAGCTATGGCTCCTGTGCTGCAGCGTCACTGACCCCTCCCTTTGTCCCTTCAGCCCTGGGGAAATAGTGATTTTCTAGTTGTTAATCTCTAGTTTGCCCCCCACTCCCTTCCCTGGTTTTCATCTCTTCTAGCCCCTCTCTAGCTAGACGCCCATCTTAAATGCCTTCTCTTGAACTGTCTGGTGTAGGCTTTGTGCTCCGGCCTGGACCACACTGATGTGGGTGAGAATGTGGACTGAGGTCAGACGGCCTGGATGCAAATCCCAGCACTACCACTTGCTATTGTGAGACCCCGGGCAAGTTACTAACCTCTGTGAGCCTCATTTCCTTCATCTGTAAAGTAGGAATAATAGCACCTACCTCCTTGGCTTATTAGGAAGATTAATTGGACTAATAGTTTATAAATGCTTAGAACAATGCCTGGAACATATTAAACACAATATTAATACTAGGTTTATTTTTTTCCTATTTAGTTTTTGCAACTTCTATAAGAAACAGAGGTTGTTATTATCCTGGCTTTACAGATGAGGAAACAGAAGCCCAGAGAGATAAAGTGACCGAAGTCACTCAGCTTTAGCAGTGAGATTCAGACTCGGTCAGTGGACTCCTGTTTATGCCCACTCTACCCTGCAGACAATCAAGTCACAGTCAGGGGGCAGGCTGGGGGCCTCCGTGGGGCTGCTGCAGCTTCCACGCCGGCTGGTGGGCACTGAGTGGTTTAGCCTGCCTGTCACCATCTCCCTTACTCCCACCCAGCCCATCCTTGCAAATAGGAAGCTAAGGCAGCCAGTAGACTGGTCCCCAATTTAGAAGGAAAGGGGAGAGAGTGTTTTCTGGGAGGGAAAAAGATGGTGGGGAAAAAGCATAAGATCATTTTCTCCCTCTTTATTGGAGTCATTATTCGTGAGCTCTTCCTATGGTGACAGATACTATGCTCAGGACTTTACAGGCCGAGTGACTTGTAGCTGCCTGTAAAAAAAAAAATCCAACTAATTGGCTTAGGGAAAAAATGCCAATGAATTGGCTCATGGAACTGGGAAGTCCAGGAGTGGAGCTGGCTTCAAGAGATGCATGGTGATACCATCACCAGCACCACCATCATCATCATCTTGGTTCTATTTCCTTGTAAGAAATGACTTAATCCACAATTAGATGGGCTTTCTCCAAACTCACATTTTTAGCTCAGTAACTTCAGGGAGGAAAGATCTTTCCCAAGGCAGATTCTTTTTTTTTTTCAATATATCTTATTGATTATGCTACTAGTTGTCCCATTTCCCCCCTTCATCCCCCAAGGCAGACTCTAGTTGGCCTGCAGGAGTCTTGAGCTCATCCTAGAGACCAATCGCTGTTGCCAGGAAGGGGACATCATGACTGTCTGGGCGTGGCCAGTGTCCCTTCCCTGTGGCCAGGAAGAGGCCCAGGCTCTGTGACTGAAAGTCTCAACAGAGCACGTAGAATGGTGCGGATCCCAAAGACAGGAATGCTCTGCAGACAATACAGAAGAGAAAGTAGAGGAATGAAATGACTCTCGCCATGTATGCATGACTCTATTTAATCTGTGCTACTATCGGCTCCGTTTTGCAGAGGAGGAGACAGACAGAGAGGTTGAATAAGAAGGCAACACTTCACGGCCCAGCAAGGATTAGGACCCAGGATTGTCGGACTCCAAAAGTACCTACTTTTACCCATGGCCGTGCCTGTCCTCGCAGACCCTGTAGAGACACAGACAGGACACAGACAGGGAAGGGGGACTCCGGGAGGACTCAGGAGTGGGAGAAAAGATGGGAGACTTTGCACTGGGCCCTGGTTTCACTGCCCTGCAGTCATTTCCAGTCGGAAGGTCCAAGGTTTCTGTGTGGGTGAGGAGCTCACCAATGTATTGTGCTCAAGGGCTCTGTCTTACCCCCTGACTCCAGACCCCAGCTGGGGATCCTCCAGCTTGTTTTCTCCTCTTGGAGTGTGAGTAGGGCTTTTCCCTGGCCTCCGGTTCAGGGCTGAGCCGTGTTGCTTGCTATCTGGGTTTTTGTACACACAGGAAGCGGTCCTCCTCAAAGCCAGCTTGCCAAACAGTGGCCCAGCCTCCCTGTTCCCTGACAGGAGTCCCTGTACCTCTCCTCAGCCAGCTCCTCTGACAGGCCACAGACTCTCCCGTCACCTGGAGTTTGTGTCTCATGCTGTTCCTTTAGCCTGCCTGGAAGGCATTTCCTCTGCTCTCTACCTGGCTGGCTTCCTGTGGAATCCAGCTCAGAGGTCACTGTCCTTCAGGACGCTCCGGGGACATCCCTCTGCCCTCCCCTGCTCCAGAGAACCCCCTTTCTGTGCTTACTGCTAGCAGATCACGAGTCCCATTCTTCTTACTGGCCTCTTTTCCTCACCAGACCCTAAGAACTTCCTTCGGAACACAGCTGGTGCTCCAAAACTGCGGCATTCCCACTTGCAGGCTGGGCACTGCCCAGGGCTGCCCAGGGGGGTGCTGGGGGTGCAGGCGGGGCAGGAACACAGCCCGGGTCTCGAGGCTGCACGGGCAGACTCCTGTGATTTCAGAGGCTCTTCTACCCCCAGTAAAGAGTAAAGTGGAATTTAGCTGCTAGGTAAATTATACAGCCAGTCATAGACTTGTGTGGAATATCGGAGTCATGGAAGCTGATGGCAGGGGCGATTTTTCCCTTATAAAATGGATGTCGGGAGGAAAAGCTCTTCCTCTGTTCTGTTGGGTTCCATTAATTGGGGGCCTGTGGATTAAACTAACAACAGGCAGATTAACCAGTAAAAAAAAAAAAAAAGAGAGACAGATTTAATTACATACATACAGGATTTTTCAGAAAAATGTGACTCAATAAGGTGGTTAGAACTGGGGGTTTATATACCATATTAAAAGGGGGATGGGAGGAGGGAGAAGGGCGTTTACAGGAAGACAAGTGACTTTTATGAAAGATAATTGGGCCCTTAGGAGGGGAGGTGGGGCATACCGTGGTTTTCGACAAGGTCTGGTCACAGATGGCGATGCCCGTCCGCCTTCCCCGGCTGCTCCCCCTTTATGACAGTGGAGTTCTTTTGGGGGGAGCGGGTCTGTGCTTCTAGGCAGACAAGAGGTATTAGGAATTCAAATGCCTTCTGTTCCAATTAATTTTTATGCCAATGTGGCATATTCTGGACCCCTTCACCAAAAAGTCCAAGGATTTAATACTTCATCAGTTAAAGCTGGACCCAGGGGCTCAAACCATTTTGTCAAGTCTCAGGTCCCTCCGTCTCCCTCATGCACACCAGTGACTGGGTCATTCTGTTCCTCTCTCCCTCCCTCTCTTTCTACTCCTCCCTCTCCCTGTCCATGCTGTCTTCTTCTGCAATGGCTTCATTCCGAAGCAGGCTCCTCCCACGGCATGGCCAGATGGTCTCCAGCCCCTCCAGATGTGCGCGAAGGCAATAGTTGACAACTTTTCTTTTCCCCGGAGTTTCAAGATTCCTTGGGTTGGGTCTCATTGGACCCGGCAGGGGAAGAAACAGGCTGATCAGCCAGGCCAGGCCTGGCACACCTGCCCACCCTGGAGTCTCGAGGGTAGAAGGGCCAGGTCAGCCTCAACCCCACCCAAACTGCATGGACTGAGGGTGGAGGATGGATAACTAGGGCGCTGCTAACAGGAGGAACAGAGTGGATTCCAAGCAAGGAAAACCACCGATGTCCTCTATACAGAGAAAGGTCTCCAGTGTGAGGAAAGCTGGATCACAGAGCTGTGGGATCACAGAGCTGTGGGATCACAGGCTCAGGAGGTTGGAACAGAAAGACTCCTTAAAAGTGGGCTCATGTAGCCCTTTCTGTGACGGCTGCTCGCCTGTTGCCCTGGGGAGCCCCATCCTGTCCCTGACTGATGCCTGAGTCCTGGGCAGCCCGAGGGATGTGTGGAAGGGTCCCCCTGGTGTTCCTGCTCTCTCCTCACTTCTCTTCTGCTGGAACATTCTGGGTCACAGCTGCCCACAGGGGCCTTGTTTATGCTCCTTCCCAGTGAGCTCTGGGATCTGGCCATCTGCCAGGCTGGCGGTCAGCCACATCAGCCATGGGCTATACAGTCCCTCTTTGACACAGAGGCCCAGTTGGAAGCACATCCGGGGCTCCTGGGGAGCTAGAAGCAAGCCAGAGTGCAGAGGCAGCCTAGCCTAAGCCTGGGCTCAGAACCTTCCTCCTGCCTAGGATTCGGAGTGTCCCTCCCCTCCCATCCCTCCCTCCATCAGCCCTGGGAGCCAGGAGGG